GGGGATTTCTCACTTTCTGTCTCTCTGTCTCTGTCTTTCCAGTGAGTGCATGCGCCCTGTAGCAAAAAACCTCTCAAAAAAAAAAAAAAATTGTCGGGAACCAGCAGTTAGCGTAATGGCTATGTCGCTGGACTCCCACGTAGTCTACTGCGGTTCGTGTCTCGGACCCGGTGGCTTAAATCTCACGCCGGGCACGTGTGCGTGCGTGCCCAAGATCCTGGGAGGAGAATGGAGGAGAAGGGATTGCGGCGTGACCATCCCCCCTGGGGGGTGATTTCTCGCTTTCTGTCTCTATTCTCTGTCTGTCTGGCGAGCGCACGCGCCCTATAGCGAAAACCTCTCCAAAAAAAAAAAAAAATTGTATATACTTTCTATGCCTGGTGATCTGAAAATTATAATGCCAGGGAAAAGTTGTTTTTGTTTGCTTGTTTTAATTCTGCATTAAAAGGCAGAGGATAGTAAAAACTATGTAGGCCAAGAACTTCGGGAAGAAAATGTGGAGTCTGTGCTATTTGGTGTATAGATAGCAACAGAATCCTTGCCTCTTAGTCCTACAAGGTTCACAGAATTTATAGATTTTGAAAGTAAAGAATAAGGCAACCTTTCTGAAATTTATCTTCTACAGCTGAGATATCATAGACACCACGAATGACACTAGTTGAGGTCCCCTGTCTGAACTGCCTCAACTGTCATCTTTTTACCCTCAAGCCTTTCAAAGCCTATTTATTCTACACTACATGCATTAGATTTCTTACAGAATTTCATAATGCAACACCAAAAAATAAGATAATCATGGATAGTTACTATATCTCCACTTAAATTTTTAGGTGGGCATTTGGACCTACAGCCTTCAAGCCAAAACAAGTCAGGAAACATTAACTATTGCAGTAACTTCAAGAGCAGCAAATTCTTCTGTACCTCCAATCACAGTGAGTGCTAAAATGAATAAAGACACAAACAGCTTCCCCAGCCCAATGATCGTCTATGCGGAAGTTCTACAAGGGTATGTACCCGTTGTTGGAGCCAAAGTGACTGCTTTCATTGAATCAACCAGTGGAAATACAGAAGTTTTGGAACTTTTTGATAATGGTGCAGGTAAATCACAGGTTTTTATGAAAAAAACCCTACATTTTCATAATCCAGGATGTTATGGGTCCCAGTATGGGCAAGTAGGACAGGCACCAAAAGAATCCATATACTATAGAATAATGGTAGGACAGCAAGCCAGTAGGAAATTCTACATAGGTAAAACCTACCAAGGACTAGAGGCTGGCAGGTGGCATGGTAGTTAAGATGCTGGACTTCCACATGCCTGACTACAGTTCAAGTCCTGGACTTGGTAGCTTGCTTTCTCACTCTTTCTTTCTCTCTCTGTCTCTCTCTGGTCAAACTGAATAACAATAATAAATAAAATACTTCTTTAAAAAAAAACTACTAAGGACTTAGCAAGTGTCGTGGTAAGTATACAATAAAATTTTTTGAGAGGTTTTTCGCTAGAGGGCGCTTGCGCTCGCCAGAAAGACAGAGAGACACAGAGAGATAAAAAGCGAGAAATCACCCCCTGAGGGGATGGCCACGCCACAATCCCTTCTCCTCCATTCTCCTCTTGGGATCTTGGGCATACACACACACGCGCACCTGGCATGAGTTTAAGCCACCGGGTCCAGGACTCGAGCCGCGGTTGACTACATGGGAGTCCAGTGACATAGCCATTACGCTAACTGCTGGTCCTAGTACACAATAAATATTATCAGTTTATCATTTAGACAACAAATATAAGTAATCAGTTAGGAAGGTCACTTTCAGGACACTGAGGGGACATCAAGAATTCAGGGCCAGCGTTTCTTAGGGAGTCATTACTAAGAAGTCTGTCCAAATAGGGTGAAGTACAAGCAGCCAGATGGAATTAAGTACAGAACTTGGGTCCCTGGCAAGGGCTTGTCTTAGAAAACACTCAAATTTCTCCTTTTCTTTGTTATAATTTATTCCTCCATTTCCATAACAAGGTGCTGATTCTTTCAAGAATGATGGCGTCTACTCCAGGTATTTTACAGCTTTTAAAGAAAATGGCCGATATAGCTTAAAAGTACAGGCACAAGGAGGAAAAAACTCTGCCACACGAAGCTTTAGGCATCCACCGAATAGAGCCCGTTACATACCAGGCTGGGTGGTGGATGGTGAGTATCTCAAGGTATCTGAAATTCAGTGCTATCTTGAATAATACTTGAGTTAATATAATTGTTTTGAATATTTTATGTCTAAAAGTAAATCGTTTCCCTAATCTAGAATTAAGTTCTTAATAATTTTTAATTTGCCTCTGAATTAATCTAAACTTTGGTACAGTGTCTGAAACCTAGTGAACACTCCATATCTGTCAGCTAATGTTATGTTAATGTGGAGTACTTAAACTATATAAAAAATAGTATGTTCGATTTTCAGTTCAGGATGAAGGAAACAGACCAATATGTTTCAAGCCTAAGTAAAAACAAGTGATAGAATTTATCCTTCGGATTGCATTAACTATGAAAGCTATATAAATGGGTAGACATTTATTTGGAACATTTTTGTTAAATCAAAGAAAAACTGTAAAGTGATGGAAGGGATTAAGCATGTGTTCTTTGCCAGCTTTTCTTTCTCTGTCTTTTACCTTGTAAATATAAGGACTTTTAAAAAAAATTTCACATTCAACTACTGTATCATTACAGCATACCAAGTGAATTTTTCCATCACAAATACACTATATATTGGTTTAGCTGAAGGTAGCAACTGGAATACATCCAAATACTGCTCCTTAGCTCTTGCAGAATTGTCCTACTTACCGGATGCTTATGACTGTGTCACCAAATTAGTAAACATGTGACTGTACATATGGGGAGGGAACAAAAAGACAAATAGGGTAGGAAAGGTGACTCATTGAGTTCTAAAAATACTAGCAGTTTTGCCCATTATAAATTAGAAAATGTTTAATGCAGGGAAAATTGAAGGGAACCCACCAAGGCCTGAAAATGCTGAAAATACTCAAACAACCGTGGAGGATTTTAGCAGAATGGCATCTGGAGGTGCATTTGTAGTATCACAAGTTACACCTGGTTCCGTGGCTGATGTGTTCCCACCAAGTCAAATTACAGATCTTGATGCCACACCTGATGGGGATGAGATCACCCTAACATGGACAGCACCAGGAGATGATTTTGATGTTGGAAAAGGTAAGGATAAAGTGTCACGTGGTTATGACAAGTGAAAAATGCGGGCTGCAAAAGCAAGGGTCAGCGAGGAAAAGAATAATTTTTCATTGAAAACTTAGCAAAGTATTAATTTGATGATTTTTGTAATCATTCAAATGTGAAACATTAGAACTTGGTCCTACTTTTTATATAAAGAATGGTACCATTTGACAGTTAATCTATTTATTTAAATATATTTTTATTATATTTTAAGATATGCAATATGAAGATATTACATATATAATATTGAGTTATCAGAAAAGTCGTGATGCATTTTTGTTTTTTGTTTTTTGGGGGGTTTTTTTGCTATAAGGTGTGTGCGCTCGCCAGACAGAGAGAGAGAGAGACAGGGAGAGACAGAGAGACAGAAAACAAGAAATCATCCCCGAGGGGGGATGGCCATGCTGCAATCCCTCTCAGGATCTTGGGCACACACGCACACATGCCCGGTGTGAGTTTTAAGCCACCGGGTCCGGGACACAAACCATGGTCGACTACGTGGAAGTTCAGTGACATAGCCATTACGCTAACTGCTGGTCCCCTATGATGCATTTTTGTATAGAAAAAAATACTTCATAACTTTTCTAACAACCCAATAAAATGGTTACTATATGAAACAAATGAGCATAGCCATTATCTCATACAGCTATCCTTAAAAAAAAAAAAATTTCAGATTCTTAGGCTACTTATGTGAAACCTCCCTCTTTTTCTTATTTGTTTGCTATTGAGTGCAGAGAGGCAGAGAGAGGGAAGAAGGGAGAGAAATCACCCCCTACGGGAAATGACCATACCATAACCCCCTTCTCCTAGTCTCCTTTTGGGATTTTGGACACCCCCACTCCCCCCAACCACACCCACCACAGCATGATTTTCTTTTTTCTTTTTTTTTTTTTTTTTTGGAGAGGTTTTCGCTATAGGGACAGGCACTCGTCAGACAGACAGAGAGACAGAGAGACAGAAAGCGAGAAATCACCCCACAGAGGGGATGGTCATGCCGCAATCCCTTCTCCTCCATTCTCCTCTCGGGACCTTGGGCACGCACGCACATGCGCCTGGCGTGAGTTTTAAGCCACCGGGTCCGGGACGGGAACTGCAGTCAACTACGTGGGAGTCCAGCGACATAGCCATTACGCTAACTGCTGGTTCCCAAAATTTCAATTTCTTCTTTGACCCATTAGGTGTTGAGAAGCACGTTGCTTAATTTTCACAAATTTGTGGATTTTCTAAAATTCCTTCTATTACTGATTTTTAGTTTCATACCATTGTGATCAGAAATAATACTTAGGTTGATTTTGACCTTAAATTTGTTAAAGCTTGCTTCATGGCCTAACATGCAGTCTGTTTTGGAGAATGTTCCATGTGCACTAGAAAATAGTGTGTATTCCACTGCAGTTGGATGGAAAGTTGTGTGTCTGTTAGGTCTATTCTTTTTTTTTTTTTTTTTTGAAGGGGTTTTTTCTTTAAGGATTTTGAAGAGGTTTTTGCTATAGGGCACGTGTGCTCGCCAGACAGACAGAGACAGACAGAGAGACAGAAAGTGAGAAATCAACCCCCAGGGGGGATGGCCATGCCACCATCCCTTCTCCTCCATTCTCCTCTCGGGATCTTGGGCACGCACACACACACGCCCAGCGTAAATTTTAAGCCACCAGGTTCGGAATGCGAACCGCGGTCGACTACATGGGAGTCCAGCGACATAGCCATTACGCTAACTGCTGGTCCCTCTGTTAGGTCTATTCTAAAGCGCTGTTCAATTCCAGTATTTCCTTAATAATTCTCTACAGGTTGGTCTGTCCATTGTTGAGAATGGGGTTGAGAGTGGGGTTTTGAAGTTTCTGTGTATTATTATGTTGTCTATTTCTACCTTTATGTGTATTAATGTTTGTTTTATATATTTAGGTCTTCTGATGTAATGTACATATATACTTACAACTGTTATGTCCTCTTGTGAATTAATCCCTCTATCATTACATTAATGACTTAGTCTCTTTCTGTACTTTTTGACATGAATTGTATTTTGTCTAACATAAATACAGCTACCCCTGCTCGCTTTTGGTTATAATTTTCATGGAATATCTTCTTCCATCCCTTCACTTTCAGCCTATGTGTGATCGTAAAGCTAAAGAAGTCTTTTGTAGGCAGAATGTAGTTGATTGCTTGTTTTTTTTTTATTAACTTGGCCACTTTATATAACAGTATATAATTTTATACTGATATCAACTTAACTTCTGTCGCATACTGTAGATTTTTAGAATCTCCCAGACAATTTAAAGCTTCAATATCACAAGTCACATTTTTTTAATGATTTTTGCCGTAGGGCACATATGCTCACTGGAGAGAGACAGAGAGGGAAAGTGAGAAATCAACTTCCCTGGGGGATGGCCATGCTGCAATCCTTTCTCCTCAATTCTCTTGGAATTTTGGGCACACACATACACACACACACATGCACCCAGTGTGATTTTCAAGCTGCTAGGTCCAGACTTTTTTTTAAAGAGGTTTTTGCTATAGGGCACATGCGCTCGCCAGAAAGAAAGAGAGAGAGACAGAGAGACAACAGGCAAGAAATCACCCCCCGGGAGGATGGCCACACCTCAGTCCCCTCTCCTCCATTCTCCACTCGGGATCTTGGGCACACATGCACACACACCTGGCATGAGTTTAAGCCACCAGGTCTGGGACTCAAACTGCAGTTGACTACATGAGAGTGTAGCCACATAGCCATTATGCCAACTGCTAGTCCCAGCCAGGTCCAGACTTAAACCTTGGTCAGCCATGTGGGAGTCCAGCGCCTTAGCCACATGCCACCTGCTGATCTCACAATTTACATTTTTTTATACTGTGTATTCCCCTTAACAACTTTCATTGTAGCTAGAGGCAAATAACCATTTTGTCTTTTAATCCTTATACTAAGATGTAAATGATTTGCAGACCATTATTACAGTATTGGGGTATTCTGAGTTTGACTATTTACCTTTACCACTCAATTTTATACTTTTGTATATTTTATATTAGTAATTATTAGTAATTAACATCCTTTTGTTTCTTCTTGAAGAATATCCTGATATATTTTTTGTAAGGCTATATAGTGGTGATGAGTTACCTGAGCTTTTGCATGTCTCAGAAAGAACAGTTTTCTTTCTTTTTTTTTTTTTTTTTTTTTGGAGAGAGAGAGAAAGCGAGAAATCATCCCCCAGGGAGGATGGCCACACCACAATCCCTTCTCCTCCATTCTCCTCTCGGGATCTTGGGCATGCACGCACACGAGCCCAGCATGAGTTTAAGCCACCAGATCTGGGACTCGAACCGCGGTTGACTACATGCGAGTTCAGTGACATAACCTTACGCTAACTGCTGGTCCCAGAAAGAACACTTTTCTGGGTATAGTATTCTTGGCTGGCAGGTTTCATTTTCCCCCTTCTTTTCAAAAAATATCTTTTCTTATTACTACTTCTTTTTCCATTAGATCACTGTATATCATTAGAACATACAAAATTAATTTTCCCAGCATGAATACACTGCATATTAGTCCAAAGATATTACCATATACATTATCAACAGATAATTTTCCAACTTTGTAGCCCTTAAATGCTTTGCTGCTTTTTTTCCCCTTGATTCCCTGCCTCTCATCTTCCTCCATTTCCCACCCTCCTCCCACAGTGTCTCCAATAGCTACAGTTGCTTTTATACCTTTCAATCTTTCAGTTTCTGCCTTTGAGGGCAGACATTCATTATATATTAAAATGAGCACATACAATGCCCTTCTTTCATAGTCTGGCTAGCTTTGCCTAGCAGTACATCTTCCATATTCATCCTTCTATCAAATGCCTACATCTCATTTTCTTATGGCTGAGTAGTATTCCATACTGTATATGTGCCACACTTTTTCAGTCCATTCATCTGTTCATGGACCTTTGAACTGGTCCCAATTCTTAGCAATTGTGAATAATGCCACAATAAACATGGTATTATTTCTTCAGTGGTTGTGAAGCTGTTCAGTATTAGGTTAGTTTCCATGTTTTTGTGAATTTTTGAGGTGTTTTTCTGCAGTTTTCAAGTTTAATTCCATCATAGTCAGAGGAGAGGCTAGATATAGTTTCTATACATTTGAATTTGTAGAGGCTTGTTTTGTGCCCTTTCCTGTGGTCAATCTACGAAGTGTTCCATGTGGTGGTGAGAAAAATGTATATCTTGTGGTTGCTGGGTAGAAAGTTCTATAGATATCTCTAAAGTCTATTTGATTCCTTTTTATGGTGTCTCTCTCCTCCTTCAAGTCATGGAAGGACTTCCTCATCTCCTGGAGTTTATTGTCTCTTTTCTCTTGCATCTCATTTGTTTTCTATGAATATTCTGAATTCTTTTACTGACATGTCTGTGAGCTCTTTTGTGCTGTCTGTGGATGATGAGTTGTTATGTTCCCTTGAGGGAGAAGTATTTTGTTTCATATATCTTGTGTCTCTGCACTGGATTTTTGTCATCTGATGAAGTATACACTTCTTCCTAATTTTTTTGGATGGATTCTTTAGTGTTAGTGGAAAAGAACAGTTCTTCTTCCCACATGTGTTCTTGGTAGGGGAATTTGTCTTTGAATTGGAATAGGGTGTATCTAGCCAGGTTCAGGTGCTTGGATCCTCTAACAGCCTCTGAAGATGAGATGCACCTGGAACTGGGCTGGAACTATGCAACTACAGAAAAAAGTGCAAGTCCATACAGCATGCAGGTTGGTAAAATGAGGAATCTGGAGAAAAACAAACAAACAAAAAAAACAAACAAAAAACTGACTCCCTGAGATTCAGTTGTGCAGGCTGTTGGAACTTGCAAATGTACTAGAGGGGCAGCAGGACACAAAAGGATCCAAAGGTCCAGACCTGCTTAACAGAAAACCGACAGGGAGATTCACAGCTGCTCACCTTTAGTGGCTGCCACCCTAGGATGCTGCTGTGCAGGCCAGTGGAAGGAACTTGGAAAGGCACTTGGAGAGGGGGAGACTGCTAGTGGGACAGAAATGGATGGCTAGCAGGTTTTTGCTTTCAACACTATCATTCCATTCTCTTCTGGCCCACAAGGTTTCTACAAAAAGTGTGCTGATAGTCTAATAAAATCTCTCCTTGTATGTATGACATGTCACTTCTATTACTTTTAAAATTTGTCTTTGACGTTTTATAGTTTGATCGCAATGTGCCTCAACAGAGACCTTTTTTGGTCTGAGCTTGATCAGATCTAGATGTTCACATCTTTCCTAAGACTTGAGATGCTTTAGAGGCTTGGACCCTGGAGACACAACACAGTTGCAATTTGGATACCAGAGCCAATAAACCACAGTGGCAATTCAGGTCCCAGGAGATGAGGCACTGCAATCTAGGGACTCAGGACCCTGGGATGGTGGGATACAAAGGAGTCCCAGGCTGTGAGGCCAGGTATAGCAACACTAAGGACCCAATGGTGCAGTACAGCTATGGCTTGGGCAGGGAAAAATATAGCAACTCCATTCCCTGGGGAGGTGAACTCTGCAGGACTAGCAAGTTTCAGGGGAGCACAGTGATACAGTTACTCAACTTGGAGGGTAGGGTGTCCCAGCTCAGCCAATGGTATGTTTCCTTGGATCATGGGGTGCCATGTCAGTACAACCCTGAAAGGTATGGATTCTCTGCTCAGCCAAGATACTAATTCTCCATAAAGCAGGGTGCCACTTCAACTCAGATGCCACAAACTATGATTGCTGTGGTTGACCAAGACAGAGATTCCACCTGAGGCAGGTTAAATTAGACCTCAAGGGGGAGGGCACAGCAGTGACTGGGATACATAAATTGAGAAGCTCCATGGCAGCTTGGCTTCATGAGGTATGGTGTAGCAGTGTTTAACTCCAGATGGAGGGTCACCAGCTAAGGGTGATGGAGCCGCAAAAAAACTTCAGGAATGGAAAGGAATAGTGGCTACTCACTCAAAGAACAGAACACATTCTAGTAGTGGTTTTAGTTCCAAAAAAGTGCAATGCAGTAGCAACTCTTGCTACAAAGAGATGAGCACAGTGTTGGCTTTTATTTGGGGGTGAGGGTAGAGCTGTGTGAATTTGAGGCAGCTCCTTCAGTTGGGCTTAGCACCTGTGAGGACTGCGTAAGTCCTTAGTGATGAGGACTGTAGGTGACCTTAGTGGTAACAGAAACTGCTGGGGTTCCCTTGCTTAACTTTGCCCACAGGGAGATGTCCCACTTGGTTCTGAGCTGATTCCAATAGGGGATAAGGTGTTGGAAGCAAGGTGTTTCCTTCCCTTCTTTTAAGTGGCCATCCTGAGTTTTTATGTGCTTCAGGATTTCTGCTATTTCTTTGATATATCCCAGTATTCTCTTTCAATTATCTTCATCAAAATATAGTTGTTTATTATGGCTTTGGTTGTCTTCATACAGTGGAAATGAGTGCTAAGGGCTTCTGGTCAACCATCTTACATCTTGGTGTCTCTCTTAGCAAAATTTAAGAATCAGAATTTAGCTTTTTTGAAAATGAGTAAGGCTTTTTCTGTGAGTATAAGCTTTCAAAACTAAACAGCATTTTCTAAAATAAAAAGTAATATGCCATTTATCTTTTTTTGTGTCTTAGTTCAACAGTATATCGTAAGAATAAGTGGAAGTATCCTTGATCTAAGAGATAATTTCGATAATGCTCTTCAAGTAAACACTACTGATCTGCTACCACTTGAAGCCAACTCCAAACAAACCTTTACATTTAAGCCAGGAAATATCTCAGAAGAAAATGCAACCCACATATTTATTGCCATTCAAAGTGAAGATAAAAGCAGTTTGAGATCGAACATATCCAACATTGCACAAGTAGCTTTGTTTATTCCTGAAGCAGATCCTAGTCCTGATGGAAATAATCCTAACCCTGATGGAAATCATCCTAATCCTGATGGAAATAATCCCAGTTCTGGAGTTAACATTTCTGTGTTGGTGTTGTCAGTGGTTGGATCTGTTGTAGTTGTTAGCATTATTGTAAGTACCACAGTGTGTATTTTAAAGAAGAAAAGATCAAACAGACCTAGAACAGGGTTTTAAAACAACAACAACAACATAAGTAAAGGATATTTATGAATTTTAAAATTCATTTTGTGTAGTAATGACAAATGATTGAGATGATGGGTATACTAATTACCCCGATTTAATCATTGTTCTTTGTATTTTTGTACTGAAAAATCACATTGTACCCTATGATTATATTTGATAAAAAAATGTATTTTAGTTAAAAATAGTAGAGGTATGTTAACAAAATATTATACAGTTTTAAAATATAAATTTAAAAATAAAATAATCTGTCCTGTGTGATCATAAACTCATAAAAATACTTTTAAGAAATCCAGAATTATACTTTGCTTGAATAAATTTAAGTATCTAGAGGTGTGTAAAAACTAAATCAACATTAAAGTTTAATAACTTTGTTTACTCATTTTATTTATCAGATCATATGTAATGATTACTCATTTATTTATTATATTATATGTAATGATGAATAAAGATTTTTTTTCATATTGTTTACCTGGCTGTATACTGTTTAATATAAGAATTTTCTGAAATGAGAATTCAAATTTCATCCCAAGAAATTAAATTGCCTATTTGAGTAGTCAAAATACAAGTATAAGAAAGCAAATAACCAAATATGTGAAGAAAAGACTGCTAGATCTAAAAGGAGAAATAAACTGCAACAAACTAATTGTTGGGGACCTCAACACCCCATTGTCTCCTTTAGACAGATTAATGAGACAATAAGAGATTCAGGACCTAAATGATACCATCAATCAGATGGACTCAAGAGACATCTATAGAACTTTCTACCCCAAAATGACAAAATATGCATTTTTCTCACCACCACACAGGTACCACATAATAGGGCACAAAACAAACCTCTACAGATTCAAAGGCATAGACACTATATCTAGCATCTTGTCCAACCATGATGGAATTAAACTTGATATCAACTTCAGGAAAAACTCTCAAAAATACACAAATACATGGAAACTAAATAACCTACTCTTGAGTGATGTCACAACTACTAAAGAGATTAAGACTGAAATCAAAAGATTCATGGAAACAAATGATAATGAGTGCATGAGTTTCCATAATCTCTGGGACACAGCAAAACAGTCACAACAAGGAAGTTCATAGCAATTAGTGCGCATAGGAAAAAGATGGAAAGGTGGCAAATGGACAACCTAACGTCATGTCTCAGGAAACTGAAAAAACAACAACAAAACAACAACAAAAAAAAAATACTAGGAGAAAAGAAATAAAAATTCTAGCAGAATTAAATGAAGTAGAAAATAAATGAACTATACAGAAAATAAATTAAAGCAAAGCTGGTTCTTTGAAAAGATAAACAAGATTGACATATCCTTAGTATGACTAATTAAGAAAAAGAGAGAAAGGAACCAGATAAATAAAATTCACAATGAAAACAAGCACTATTACAATGTACGTAATAGAAATACAAAGCATCATTAGAGGATATTATGAGCATCTATACAGGCAACAAACAAGAAAACCTGGATGAGATGGACAAATTCCTGGACACATATCATCTACCAAGATTGACTCAGGAGGACATAGAAAGCTTGAAGAGACCCATAACAAGCAATGAGATTGAATCAGTAATAACTAACCTACCAAGAAAGAAAAACCCAGGTCCTTATGGCTTCACTTCTGAATTCTACAAAAATTTTAAAGTAGAAGTAATCCCCTTCTTCTCAAATTATTTCTAAAGATCGAAAAGAAAGGAACTCTTCCAAATTTATTTCATGAAGCATCCCTCACCCTCATTCCCAAAACAGATAAGGATATGACGAAAAGGGAAAACTACAGACCAATATCTCTGATGAATATAAATGTAAAATTTTCAACAAGGTAATAGCAAATTATATCCAACAACATATAAAACAGATTATTCATCATAACCAGGTGGGCTTTATTCCAGAGATGCAAGGGTGGTTCAACATATGCAAAACCATAAACATAATACACTATATTAACAGAAAGAAAGATTAAAAAAAACATACGGTTATTTAAATTGATGCAGATAAAGCATCTGACAAAATACAACATAGCTTCATGATTAAGGCTTTCAGCAAAATAAGCATAGAAGGATCATTTCTCAGCATAATTAAAACCATCTATGAAAAGCCTATTATTAACATTACACTGAATGGGGGAAAACTGAAAGCTTTTCCGCAAAAAATTGGTACAAGACAAGACTGCCCACTTTCTCCACTCCTTTTCAATATAGTGCTGGAAGTCCTAGCCAATGTGATCAGACAAGAGAATGAAATAAAAGACATTCCAGTTTGGAAAGAAGAGTTGAAATTATTTCTATTTGCAGATGACATGATTGTATACATAGAGGACTCAAAGGTATTCATGAAAAAACTTCTCAAAGTAATCAATGAATACAGTAAAGTGGCACGATACAAAATCGACTTACAAAAAACTATAGTATTTCTATATACAACCAACAACCAGACAGAGGCAGAAATGAAGAAAGTAATCCCATTTACCATAGCCACAAAATGTATAAGATACTTAGGAATAAATCTAACCAAGGAAGTCAAAGACTTCTACAAGAAAAACTATGAAAATCTTAGAAATTGAAAAGGATACAACAAAGTGGAAGGACATCCCTTGTTCCTGGACTGGGAGAATTAATATAATCAAAATGACAATTCTACCCAAATTAATCTACATATTTAATGCAATCCCTATAAAATGACAAGAGACATTCTTCACAGATCTAGAAAAGACAATCACAGAATTTGTCTGGAATCATAGAAGAACCCATATTGCCAAAGCAATCCTATGAAAGAAGAGTAGAGTGGACAGCAACTCACTCCCTTACCCCAAAATTTATTACAAAACTGTGATAATAAAAACAGCTGGGTACTGGCACAAAAATAGATATGTGGACCAATGGAAGAGAATAGAGACCACAGAAATAAACCCTAAAACATACAGCCCACTGATTTTTGACAAAGGATACCAGTCAATCCATTGGAAAAGGGAAAACCTTTAAGCAAATGGTGCTGGAAAAACTGAGTATCCACCTGCAGAAAGATGAATCTGAACTACTATCTCTCACAATGAACAAAAATAAACTCAAAGTGGATCAAAGATCTAAACCTAAGACCTCAAACTATAAAACTACCGGCAGAAAACACTGGGAAAACTCTGGGAGACATTGGGGTAGGCAATGACTTCTTAGATAAGAGCATCAAAGCACAGGAAATACTCCTGAAAATAGACAAGTGGGATTATATCAGATTAAGGAGTTTCTGCAAGGCAAAAGATACAGTAATTAGTGTAAATTGACAACCCTTGGAATGGGAGAAGATGTTTGCAAACTATGTCTCAGCTAAGGGACTGATAACAAGAATACACATGGAACTCAAGTGGCTTATCAAAAAAAAGTGATTAACTCAATTAAAAAGATAGGGAAAGGAACTGAAAAAAAAACAACTCTCTAAGGAAGACATAGGAACAGCCAAAAACCATATGAAAAAATGCTCAACATCCTTCATAAGGGAGATGCAGATCAAAACCACAATGAGAGGGGCCAGCAGTTAGCGTAATGGCTATGTCACTAGACTCCCATGTAGTCAACCGCGGTTCGTGTCCCGGACCCGGTGACTTAAAACTCACGCTGGGTGCGTGTGCATGCATGCCCAAGATCCTGAGAGGAGAATGGAGTAGAGTGGAGAAATCTCCCCTGGGGGGTGATTTCTCGCTTTCTGTCTCTCTGTCTCTCTCTGTCTGGCGAGCGCACGTGCCCTATAGCAAAAACCTCTCCAAAAAAAAATAATAATAATAATTTAAAAAATAATAAATGATAAATGCTGGTGAGGTTGTGGTGAAAGGGGAATCCTCCCACACTGCTGGTGGGATGTAAATTGGTCCAGCCACTGTGGAGAACAATATGGAGGTTTCTCAAAGATCTACAAATATAACTACTGTATGATCCAGTAATTACACTCCTAGTTATCTACCCAAGGGATAAGAGAACACTCAGTTGGAAAAGTGCTTGATCATCTACGTTTACTGAGGCATTATTCACAATTACTAAGACTTGGAACCAATGCAAATGTCCACGAACAGATAAATGGATTGTAAAAGTGTGGCCCATATACTCTATAAAATACTACTCAACCATTAAAAAAAAAAAAAAAAAAAACCAAGAACCTGGCATTTGATAGAGAGTGGACAAATAAGGAAGATTTACTGCTGAGTGAAGCAAGTCAGGCTATGAAAGAGAGGCATTATATGTCTCCACTTAACATGTACCAACTATCTGCACTCTATTGTGGTAACTGAGAGATTATAGGGCATAGAAGCATTAAGAATAGTTATAGACTCTGGAGACAATGTGGGAAGATGGTGGGAGAAATAGAAGAGTGTAAGGAAAGAAATTAAGGAGGAAAATAGAAAGGCAAGACATTTATGAGACATGAAATGGATTATTATGTTGATAATAATGTGTTTTGTATCCTCAACTGGACTGCTCTAAAGCATTTTCATTTTGGGTACATTTAACTTACAAGCAAAGTGATGTATAGTGATTAAATTAAAATAAAATAAAGACAAAGAAATAAAACAATGCCTGAAATATAAAAAAAAAAAGAGTAAATAAACCACACTTGGGAAAATATATTTGGTCTTGGCACTATTAAGTATAAACTGATAATACTACGTTTATCTAGCGCCTCCAATTATATACTACAGTTGCTAAGTTCATGTATATGAAGGAAACTATAAAAAAAGGAAAAAAAATCAGTTACCATCTGTCACACCACAATTTGATTGAAGTTTATAATAAACATAAAAGTAGGGCCAACAGGTGGCATGGTGGTTAAGACACTGGACTACCATATGGCCGATTGCAGTTTGAGTCCCAAAACAGGCACCTTCCTTTCTCATTTTCTATCTCTCTCTGTCTCTCGGGTAAGCACACATGCCCTATATATAGTAAATTTTCAAATATAATAAAAATAATTAATAAAATTAAATAATTCTTTTAAAAAAAACATAACTATCACTTCC